GAGCAAAGTTGTCTGCTTTAAGTGAGATGCTTTCGTGGAGAATATTTTAAGTTACGTATTCAAAATACACACAGGAAAAGTATGAACTTAAAATATTATTTAGTAGCTGCTACTATTTTTTCAACCAGGGTCTATCTTTTCAAATGAAAATTTCAAGTTTTACTTAAGGGGGCTCATACACCTTAAACCCCTTATGATCTTCGAATATGTGACTGTTGCAAGAATTGAGGTAATTTATTTATTTTAAAAGAAATTACTTCCAACTTTTTACAGCTGACTACATAATATAGCTGCTTTAGAAACTAGTAACCAGAAAGTTTGTGTTGCCACAAATATTTTTGTAATTTAATCCGCTTTGTGACAAAAGGTTTCGTCATGTTTCCACCTTGCGCGCACGATATTTTAAAAATGGCTAATGGTACATACTTAAAATTTCATGGAATTCTTTATATGGCCACTACTTTCTAACTGAACCAAAAATTTGATGAATATTGTAGTGTTAAAAAAATTTATGCACGAAAACATTACAGATTTTTTTAATAAAATACATTTTATAAACTCAACTCCAAATAAAATAAAAAAATAACATAAAATTCTTAGAATTTTAGGTTCACGGTAGTTTCCAAATGTTATAAAAGCTATATATTAAATATGAAATTAAATTATGCAACAGAATGTTTTAAACTGTGCGCGCAAGTTGGAAACTTGACGAAAAGTTTTGTCACTAAGCGGATTAAATTATAAAAATATTTGTGGCAACACAAACTTTCGGATCACTATTTCAGAAATCAGCTATATTATGTAGTCAGCTGTAAAAATTTGGAACTAATTGCTTTTAAAATAAATAAGTTATCCCAATTCTTGCAACAGTCACATATTCGAAGATCTTATGGGTTTTAAGGTGTATGAGTCCCCTTAACATATTGTATGGAATTATTTCTTGATAAGTATTAAAGACGAAGAAAAGGGAAATGAGGAAACCAAAGACTTCATTTTAGTTAAGCAGAATTTGAACCACCGATGGAAATATATTAGGGTAATTCTAGGAAGGTAAACTGTTTTCAGTCAGAAATGTATAAAATCCATGCTTTAGTAATTTCGGACACTAAAGTAGCTACAAGATTAGATCTTTCAAGAATAATTCATGAGTACGGTGTATCCGAATTCGGAAGTAGCGTTAAGAATATTTTAATCTCTATAGTTAGTGTTGTTACTGGGGAAAGAAGTTTCAGCAAACTTAAAATAATAAAGAAAATTTAAAGATCTTTAGTTGGTCAAGGAAAATTTTCAAACATGGCCATTTTCTCCATAGATCAAGTGTTCAGTGATTCAGTGATTACGTTGATTTTGAAAAGAATGTTGATGGCTTTCCTTTGTTAAATGCAAGTATTAAAAACGCTTGAAAAATTTATTAAATACTTCTTATATTCGTTGGCATTACTATTTATATTTCATTGCCGGTATATGGCATTTATAGGAAAGGAGTTCTTTAATGCTTTTCTTTTTCAAAACTGTAATTCATTATATATATAATTTTTATGTATATGTTAATTGTAAGAGTTATGGTATTATAATTTGAAATAGTTCTGTTTAATTAATATATAAAAATGCACATAAATAGTTGTATTGTATATCATGTGTTATATGTGCATATATAAATATGCAATGTATTTCTTTTTCTTTCGAATTTCTTTATTTTATTTTATTACTACTGGTAGTTATTCCTATTGATTTGCTCATAATTTTTTGTTACCAAATAGCCGTTTTTCTTGTTTATCTGTTTATCTCAGGTATCATTTACCTGTTTATCTCAGGTGAAAAAATATGTAAGCACGGCTCAGATGTTAACGGCTGTGGTTTGGTTTTAATTAATTATTTTTCCTAGTCATCTGTTCACGCAAGCTGTCGCATCTCAGTTTTCATTTCAGTCACCGTAGAATTAAACAAATAAATAGAGAATTACTTAAGAATTAACTAATTAACCTGATTACTTTCTCTTAAGAATATATTATCGATTGCATAAAATTGAAAGCGAAAGTTATCTTGTAAACGTTTTTACTTCCTTGTACGAAGTAAAAAGGAAGTATTGTAATCGCGAAATGTTTCAAGCAGCATATTTAAACGAAAATATTAATTTTGACCGCTTTCGAATGCAATTTAAAGATGTTTTGCGTGATATCTGTACGTAAGGACAGAATAAAAGACTATTTTCCTCCAAAAAAATTATAAAACTCCTTTAAAATGAATTCTGAAGAGAATTTTTCGTGGCGTCTGTACGTACGTATCTCGCATAACTCAAAAACGAGTAGCCTCAGAACGTTGAAATTTTGTATATAGGACTGCTATAACATGTAGATGTGCACCTCGTATTTTGGTTGCAATCGGCCTCACCAAACGTATATAAATATATATATATATATATATATATCCACTCTGTTACCCGGCTCAGTGATCTCAGTTTCTTTACTCTTATATGTTTGTAAATTGTACATTTTTTGCTTTAAAAATGATTGAATTATGTTGCTTTTATCTTCCTGTTAAGGTTTTTGTGCCTTTAGTAAATTTGTATGCAATATTTTTAGAATTATCAACAATTTTAAAGCTGTTTAAGTGCCGCTAAGCCTAATAATTTTTTTGATGGCGGCCATTGCTTGTTTACATTTGAAACAGCAGAAAAGTGGATTTGTTGCCAATCTAGAGAAACGTAGCTTCGCAACAACAAAAATAACGACTTCATTTATTATTGCGAATTAAATCATGCTTAATCCTTTCTGGAATTTTTTCGAGGAAATAAGTGTTTAAGATGTACTTAATTTTTTTTTAAATTTAATTTTAATAATTAGTAATTAATTTTTAATAATCAGTAATTTAATTTTAATAATTAGTAATTTTCAATACAGATATTTTGAGTTTTTATGTATTTTTGCCTTGTCGCGAAGTGAGAACTGAATTAACTGAATGAGAAATACTCAATCATCTGTGAAAAACTGTTTCTTTTTTGTTTGATTTGCTTAATTTCTTTTATACATCGTTCTAGCTTTATTATAGTATTTGAATAGTACATGTGGCAACGATTAGATAATTCTCAGGTATCTCTCTTTCGCATCGAAGTCGCCCAAAGCGCCCTAGCATTCAGACATCGGCTCGACGCCCGAATAATTTCCTACCCAGTGCTTTCCCCCATCACGTTACTGCATTACTCATTGCTTTCAGGTGTTGTTAAATCACACGTCAATCATTCTTTGTTGTCAATTTCCTTGTTTCCTTTGTTCCTTCCTTTCCTTTACTGTCAGTGTTTAGCTTTTGATGCCCGAAGTTGCAATCCCAGTGTCAAAGCGTCGAAGAAAGAAGTTCTCGCTTTACTTAAGTAAGGCTATTGTTAGCGCTGTAGTATTCAACTTGTCATGGGGGAAGGAAAAGCATTCCAGGAGAAATTCTTAGATACGGGCGTTTTCGATGTTTGGGAAATTGAGATTTTGTCCTCTCTCGATGCGAAAGAGTTAAATGATATAAATGTTGTGCATTCTGAGTTATAATATGAACGAAATATGATACCGTTAAGTGAACCTAGCGCCAGAGTGTCGCTATGGTAAACAAACAGAGTGAATTTTAAAGAATGCATTTATTCTACTATGGTTTATACGCTGTCGGCGAAGTAGATTTAATTAAATCCAATAAGTTTAAACGAAATGCAAGAAAAAATGCGTATAATTTAATATTCCGTACAAGGATGTCATGTGGTGTATACATCAGATTTTTTGCTTCATTTTTCGAACATGTGTGTTTTGAACAAGACTAATGCATCGAATTATGTTGCACATATTTTTTTGTCTTCAAGCTTGCGTAATTATTGTTATTTATGGAGCTTATAATCATTGCTGATTGTTGAATTATTGCTGTGAAAATCTGCAAATATAACGCTAATTTCTGTTGTTTGCCTTCTAAATTAACATTGCTGTTTATTAAGTAAATCGATTCAGTTACATTTTCTCTCAAAATTAGTGTGTTGTTCTATGGGTTTTAAATTGCAGACGATAAATCGCGAATTCAAGAATATCAATTCTACATTATCGGAATGGCAACAGAAGATATTCTGTTAATATTTAATTGAGTGTAACTAGCTAAATTTTAAGATGGAACATGTAAACCGGTAATGGTTTTGTATTTGTTACAGATTTAAATAAAATTGTGTTAAGATTGGCAGGAATGGTAGTTTCATTTGAAGAACCACTAGAAATTTACTTTTTATGAAGCATTTCAGATGGCGGGAAAAGCATTTCTGCGTGTAAGAAATATAACTACTAGTATTCGAGGAAGCAAAGTAAGACATAAGACATGATTTATTCTTTTTTGAACTTTCTGTTCTTTAAATGAAGCAATAAAAACTTTCAGTTAAAAAAAAATAAGAACAAGTTTTCAAATTTTCCGTATTTTGTATTCTTCACACTTTTAGTTTTAGTATTACGTATTATTTTATACCATACTAGAAGATACTTTTTATTTTTTTCTATGTTTCTATTTCTACTTTCTTCGGACTATTCCCTTCTATCTTTAAGAAATGTTCGTTTTGCTATACTTTTGCATCAATACTTTACATTTAAAATTTTCTTAGCAGCATGTGGCACAAGATAAACCGAACCCAAAGCATGTAAAGTCTCCCAAGTCCGGCTCGTTTTTTATCTTACGCCACACGATACTTCAATTACTTACAGTAATTTTAAATTTCTTTATTTTGTGTGTTTGTGATTATAGTAACTTTAAATTGCTGTATATTTTACTTAAACACTGTATTTTGTGTTACTCGAGAATAATATTTTCATTCTTAAGCCGTTTTCAAATTCAGATAGTAGGGTTCTTAAGGAAATTGGAAATGATATTTTATTAGTGATTAACGTATTCTAATTGTAGCCAATTATTACTGGCACGGATATATTGTAATTGTGACTAATGTAGTGAATAATTTCTTAGTCTACAAATGCTGAGAAAAGAAAAGAAATAAATTTTTTTAAATTTCTTTATTCACGTATTAGTCGTCTGTGCATAGAAATGACAAATGAATATAAATGCATTGAAGCAAAAGCTGCCTCTCTTACATATGGAGATGAGAAACTTCTCAGATTGAGCTTATCATCTAGACAAATGAACTCTTCGTGAATGAAAAAATAAACATTTACATAAATTTCTTAAGTACATAAATATATATTTATACATATATATAAAACTCTCGTCTGGTTTATGTACATTTCTGAATTAATTTATTACTGACAAATGAAAAAGATTGTGCTATCGAAGTGACTGAGCTGAGGTTTGCAATGATTTATTGCTTATTGAAATAACTAATCCTAGTTAAATAGCTTTGGTTTAAAAATGTGTTTATTTAATAATAAATGCATTTTAATATAACTTTACAATACTAAAATGCTTTCTCTCTTTTAAAGAATCTTAGAAATTACTAAGTCGTTTGAAACGCTAACTTATATATTTTGAATATTTTTATGAAGGCGTTATATTAACTACTAAATATAATTGATATACTTATACAGAATTTATGCACGCAAAAGTCTTTCTGGGAAATCAGAATTAATATCAAAGCCAATTAATTAACTTAAAGTAACACAGTTTGTGATATCACGCGGAAAGAGGTTTCATAAGCATCGAAGATCTTATAAAATCATACTATAATTGAAATCAAAGCCAGCTAACTCAACATTACATATGTATATATGTAGTTTATGGTACTATGAAAAGATTTTAAAAGAGTCGAAGAACTTGCTACTATACAAAAATTAATATCGTAACCAGTTAACTGAAAATATTTTTATGAGTAGTATGTAGGAAGATATTTTATAAAACAGCAAAGAAAACAATGTGACTGAGAGGAAATAAAAATCAAACATTAGTTACTGATAGCAGACAGATAATGTGCGTTAGTCTGTCGGGAGAGCTAAGATGCTCTTCATCTACTTTAATTACTAACAGAACAATTTCTATTAAAGAGTTGAATTAGTTGACCTTGCAAAGAATTATTCTACCTTTGGTAACATAAGTTACATATTCTGTCGTTACGCCCTTCGCAATAATTCTCAATTTTGACTCACTGTAATAAAACTTTCCAAGTTATATTTCGGGGTGAGAAATTTAATTAGGAATAAATAAAAAAATTATACTGAGGTAAATGAATTTCCCAGCGTTAGAAAATCACGTGCTTATTAACTATTATATTATTTATAATATGTAACTAATTATTTGCTCTCTTAATTTTAGACATTCTTCGAGCGGAAAGAATCGCACGTTCTCTTTTTTATGATTTTACTGCTCTTAAAATACCAGAGAATATTCTTGCTTACATTTCTGACTAACATCTGTCTATCATAACTCTGATGCTTCATTTACAATTTTGATAAATATTTACAACTGAATATATTAGTATATATTTACACTTTTTACATACTGTCGCCAGAGCTAGAGAATTGAAAGCGATCAAACAGAAAATAATATATAAAAATGCACAGTCATGTGTTTCAATTTCTCTAACTAGAGCAACAGTTACCGATAATAATATACATTTGTCCAGATGAACAGTTAATTATGCTGAACATCTATGAAACATATTATAACTTTTTGAACTTGATAGGAATTTAATTTGGCACATTAACAAAATGTTGCTTGCAAAACTGACACGCAAACAACGACAAAAATGTTTCCATCAGACTGCCCGCTCAGAGAGAGAAACTTCAACATGGTTGACTTTTAAAACATTCCTAATTTCAGTATATTCCAAACATTCCTAAAATGAAAGGAAAGTACTACAGAATACTAGATTTAAAGAATTCAGTAACAGAAAAAGCATTTTTACATAGAAAAATAATGAATCCTCATTTCGACATGAATGCTACTTAGTCATAGTAGTGTTGTTTTTGACTATCTAGAATTCCTGATAATTTTTTTAACATGGGAAACGAACATTTAGTGTAATTTACAAGCTTATAAACAAAATAAAGAAATCATAATATGCTAGTACACGTTAAAATTTAATTCTTCCTTTCACAAATAACGTTTTAGAAGCTTTAAATGATAGCTAAAATATTTAATAAATAATTTCAGCGCTTGAAAGCGATGAAATGCTTCAGATAACCTTAAGTACGCATATCCTAACATCTGTGAAAAACAATTTCTATAAAGTTAAAAGAATTTGATTCATGAGCGAAAAAAACTAAGGCGAATTTATTTTTAAAATAAACAATACACTCAAAATAGCAGTTTATGTTTGTAACGATATGTTTTATATAATTTCAACATCATAATATTACCCTTGGTACTGAAAATTGCCCGAAGGTTAAAAAGTAGAATTTATGAAGGTAAGAAATAGACAATTGTAATTTAAAAATAAACGCTTACCGCAAAATAGCGATCTACTAAATTTACGATCATACTCAAATGCGTTAAAGTATCTTTTCAACTTAGTCATCAGAACATTGTTCCATTTAAAATGTTAGAAGGTTTGTCCTTCACGCGTTCTTTTTACTTACAATTAAACTACTTGACTAGACAATCAAATAAAAACTCACAGTCAGTCACTGTCTGCAAACAAATGCGTAAACATTTCTTTACAAATTTGAAAATAATGGCTTTACTCAACGCTAACTTTCAGTTTAGTAAGTCAAGGTCACATCGCGCTAGTTAAATGGAAGAACGCTTTGAGTGGCCTATCATTAAGCTGAATGCTATCGGGTACGGATGAATTGTTCAATCCGTAAGGGTGAATGGGTTATTGTTACTCAAGGTATCTAAAGTAATTAAAAAGTGCATTGTAACTGTAATTTTTTGGAAACGCTGCATATTAGATCATTCAGGTAACTTAGTATCAGTTCATCAAATGGTTGAAAAATGGCTCCATTTTTCTTAAAATGGTTTTATTTTGGAAGGTTTGTTAAGAAGCTGTTTATATAATAACTTGGAATTCGTTTTAAGTAACAACCTGTATTTCGTCCATAAAAGTATTTATAAAATCATCATAACTATCATTTTTAATGTAATTTGAACGTTTTAATTTGTTAATGCCCATATGTCAGACGAATAATCTAAATAAACTTCTTTCACAATTTTTGCCCACATTAAGCATTAGAATCTGAATTTACGAATTTAAATGCAGTTAGCAAACGCCAAATATTGCAAATTTTCAGGCTTCTAAATTTCAATTGATGATTACATATTTTGCATTTTAACTAATTATTCTCGAATATGTTTAAGTAGCATAGAAAAAAGTTTGAATAACACATGTAAATTACTCCTAAAAATTTCCAGATCCTATGATTACTATTTTAAATTTCTGCATTAGTCATCCATTAACTTTATCTTTTAAATTTTATCATGCACATGAGATAGACATAACGAGTTTCGTTAGTTTTACGTAAGAAACAAAGCTCGAAAGTTAACTTCTAAAAAAAACGGTTCTAAGAATTATTTGGTTTTGATTACTGTTTATGGTCATTCATACATAATTAAATTAATAAGTTGTAATAATCAGCTTATACAGCAGTACGAGAATGACGATCTCTCCAGCATCTACAGTGAAATCTGCAGACGCCGCGCAGATGATCACCTGTGATTCTAGTTTCAAATTTCTAGAGACTGCCTTATAAAACATGACTATTGATAACACTTAATACCGTTTTTTATGTTTTCAAAGACAAAGGTGGTTACTATGAGATGTTTCATAGTATTATGTTTTATCTTAAAAGATGGATTTTACTGTGTTCTGAGAATTTTCATTAAACCTTTCTGCTCGAAACCCATTTCGTAAGACGTAAACCTTAAAATGAACTAATCACGATGCAGATGGTAATTTTAAAACTTACCGGCGTCGTTGGTGCTGGATGGACTTGGAACCTTAGTAAAACTTTTGCTAGACACAATTTTACTTGCATCTGAACAAATCTCATGCCTACACAAATCCTGGGGCCAGCACCGAAAGGAAGATGAACGTATTGTGGTCGGTTGGGATCTGGATTATAGAATCTGCAATACAAATTAAGAAACCATTACTTATCGAACTTCATAAGTAAACTGCAATAAATCAATCCTGAATGTACGACATTTTAGGCATGAACTTTGAGGAAAACGTATTCTCACCTCTCTGGCTTAAACACATCAGGTTCAGGGTACCACTCTGGATCTCGATGTATAGCATATATCGGGATGCTGACTAGCATTCCTTTTTTTAGGACAATGTTTGTGTCTCCAAAAACATAATCGCTTTCTGCTCTTCTGTCTGACCTGAAATTGAAATTACTATCTAAGACTTTGTATCTTTGATTTACGACAAAAAATAATAAACTAAGTTTCAGTAATATTAAATTTTCCTATTAAGTTAAATTTAGCTTGCTTTTTATCGCCAAAAAAATCACCTGTAATTATCAGAATTGTTGATTAGATTCTGTTTAATTCTGATCAAACCTTTCAATTTTATTACTATTTTAATAAATATTTTTTATTTATAATTGTTATTTTAATTAATTTTAATACTTTTTTTATATTTTACACTATGTTATGAATTTATTTCTGTTTTAAAAAGAAATTCTTATGATTTTCAATGATTCTTATGAGAGTTTATTTATTGTGGAAATTTCTTATGATGCAGCTATTTTTTATTTTCAGTGATTTAATATCATTCTTATGATTGACACTTACCTCACCATTGTTGGACACAATCTCATACACTCGCTTATGACTGCATCCATAAATTTCAAATCGGATAAGGTATCGTAGTTTAAGACGCCCTAAAAAGTAAAATATGTTGCTCAGAATACATAAATTCAACATAAGAATAAATCTTTCTGCAACTAAATATAGAAACATACTATCAGTTTTTTTCATTTTATAGTTGGATAACATTCCTTAATATTAAATTAAAATTCTACATCGTTTAGTAAAAGTTTTAATTGAATATAATAATTATAATATGTAATATTAAAATCAATAATTCTGCGATATCGATAGTAAAAAATAATTATCGGTAATTATCGATAGTAATAAATAAACAAAATAAATAATTTCATTCTTAAATGTCAGCTTCACTTATTCACTATAAATAGTGAAATACGAAAATTATTAAAATTTTTCTAGTGTTTATTTTACGCGAAAATAAGTAAAATATAACCTCCGTTTTTAATGACTTAACAATTAAGCAGATATAAATAAGGTAGATGTAAATTTGTGGGAATTTATTTAATTTACTTAAGAGTTATTTTATTTTGAAGCAGCCTTTCCTAATCACTCTTCATTTCAACTCACACTTTCTTGGCAGAATGTAAATTATCTAGCGCGCGTGTATTTAAATGAGGTAGAAAGAAGTTAGTATTTAAGGGAAGGTTTTGGAAGGTGAATTCAGAGTGTATTCTGCCTGTCTGAAGACCAAATTGCTATCTTGATTTCTCTATCGATTAGATCTCCGTGGCTTGAAGACTTCTTGCCATTAGGCTTGTTACGCTGACTTTTATGAGTCAGTGCCAGCTTGCTCGATAAATAACCTGTGAACCGTGGGCTAAATTTAACTTTCATTTAATTTTAAGTTAGCCATTACCTTTTGAATTAAGCAAAACTGTTGTCTTTTTTAAGCATAAGTTGGTGCCAACTGTGAACTTTTAATTCGAGTTAATAAAGGGTTCTTTACACCCTTCTCCTACTTTGTCATATTTTGAGACTTACGGACCATTCCCTAACCAGTCTTCTAACAACTCAGTTCATGCGAGCAAAGCACACGAGACATTATAAATTTGTATAAATATTATAATTAGGTAGAAATAAATTTACCTTACAAATGTTTTTAATTTAGATCTCATTCACATTAAATAACTACATTCCATGTTTTTTATATAGTTACTTACATCGTGTTTTTCCAGCGCATTTTCGATCTCCTTTACGACTGTATCTTGGTAGTTCTGATGCATGGCCATGTTGTACAAAACATAAGACAATAATGATGTTGTAGCATCATATCCAGCTATGAAAAAGCTAATGCACTGAGACAGACATTCATCATGTGAGAGACCTATAAGACATGAAAAAAATGCTTAATGAAATTTATATATTATAGAGTAAAGTTCTTATCGTAATTTATTTTGGGTATTATAAGTGGCATAGATTACCAGTTAGATCATGGCATACATATTAACTACTATTCTAATTTTTTAAGTTCATTGCGGATTGACCACAGAAGAAAAAATTATAATCTTTATTAACTAATCGAATATTAGTTTTTCAAATCATAGCTTTAACAATAAGGTTCAGCAAGCAATGTAATGAAGTATCCTCTCTCATTAGAGACTGCATTTTTCACTGATTTATGCAATTTGGTAGCCTATCTTAAATATTTATAATATATATATATATTACTACCTTCATTGAACAGCTCAACTCAAATGACACAGGCTGAAAAAATGGAATAGTTGTTTTTCAATGAGCTTCAAACAGCTCTTCAAGCAAAAGGTTTCCGTAAGACCACTTAAAATCACGAAATTTATCTGGGGTTCGATTCCGCCGTATGGACGAGCTGGCTAAGCGAGATTTCCTTCAGATGTTTTATGAATATCATTCCTCTTAAAGTTTTTCAAGTGGCGCCATCCTTAAATCAGACAGCTGTCGAAAGCTTTGCTTTATATAATACCAGTTTTTTAACAAAGTGTTATTCTTTTTGCTTAACTTTTTTTATTTGATCGTTTGAATGTCACACCTCTTATTGCTTAAATCTAAAACTAGTTTATCTTTACCTTTTAATAGTTATCGCTATAATTTTGAAAATCAAAATTCATGAGATTCAAGATCACTTCGCTTAAGTAATATAAACGTCGTACCTTAACAATGACTATACTATTCTTAACGTGATATTTTCTGTTCCTGTCTACAAATTTAAAAATACTCAGTGGTAATTGGAACTTCTAGTTTCATAAAAATTAATTTTCTTTTCTTTTTCCTTCATTACGTAAATGAAAAGTAGTTAATTAGAAAATGAATAATATGAATTTTAATGAGTAATTAAATTTCATTATGTAAATAAATTTAATTTTCTTTGCGTGAATTCAAATATCCGGGTTAAGAATTACGTCTGCACCTTACCTTTGGTGACTGGTTTTATTTCCATTGTCCCGCTGGTATTGTCTTTGGTGCAATTTACAGTGGTATACTGAGATTTAGTGTTGTTGTTATTGGAATCAGTGGACTCATTCTCCGCATCCAGTAGCAGCTGAAGGAAATCTTCCCGGACCTGAATTAAAGAAATGTGGATATTAAATACCAAGCATTTTGAATCATAGTATTCTTTAAATTTCAATAATAAATTATTAAAAACCAGAAAACTGATTTTTTAATATATTTCACTCTGAAAACGTCATAAATGGTCTCAAGTTTTTTTAACACAATACATACTCCACAGTGGTTATTACTTCAGATATTTAAGATTTTTCCCACTTTGATCACACACATTTTTTTCCTATTTTGTTGCCCTCTATTTTGAATAAAACTTTTTACTAAATATGTAATTTCCTATATTTCTGTAATCTTTCAATAAGGAGTAAAGCTCAAATGTTGATTAAATACTATTTGAAGCAAATAGTTGAAAAATAATTAAATTTACTTACCGCATGAACCTTTTTCCGTTCTTCCACAACCTGAAGAATAATATTTTTATAAAACTCAGTCGTTTCTGGATTAAGAAGCTTCATTCGTAGTAACTTCATCAATCTTGGGAAAATAACTACAGAAATAGAAAATAAAGTCACATAAATTCGCGAATGTCTAAATGTAATTTGCATGATAGAATATGCACACACAAATGTTTCACTTCATGAATTCTAAAGTGAGTTGCATTACAATATTAACATATACTTTATCTTTTAAAAAGTTAAACATTGCATTCATTCTAACACTACCTAGCCTATTTTCTGCGCTTGCAAATTTACTTCTATTTTTTATCTGTAAAATAATACAGTATTTTTTCATTAATGCATTCCTTCTTCGCTAGAGGCAACAGCAATCATGTTAAAAGAAGCTGCTTCATTTTTAATGCTCATAACGGTTTAACTATGAAAGAATTTGCATGCAATATCATTTTTATTTCAATCTTTTTTTAATGATAATTTTTAAAAATTTCTTACGTGTGATGTAGGTTCTCCAAGACATGAAGCACTGCAACAACATATTTGCTTTGGCAACAAAAGGGTCATCTTCGCTTGCTAAAGAATTAATCGTCATTCCGAATGCACATCTGCCGATTGCATCTAACGTGAAAGCGCTGAATACCCTGGGAAAGAAAATATAGTCATATATGTAAGTAAAATAAGTAGAAAAGTCTACATAACTGCTTAAATTGCTGCATTTATTTTCAAACCCGAATTACTATAAAACTAACTTACTTTTGGCAACTGATAGCTTGTCCTTTATTCACAATTTCAGCCAGATTTTTCACTAGGAGGTCTGAACATTCATCTAACAAGGGCAACATCTGTAAATAAAACCATGATGTAATTCTATAACAATATCCAAGGCCTAAAAATCATGATGGATTTCGTTACTATTAAAATATTATGCATCTTTATGAATAATTACGACATTTTTATTAATTATTCTGTAGAGGTTTATTTTAATTTCTTAATAGTTTTTTTTTTTTTTTTTTTTTTTTATTATTATTTTAAAACAACCTTCCTACATTTTCTTGTTTCCACCTACAATTCCCTGCCAGAATGAGTTTTCAGTAATACGTTTTATGTAAATGAAGTAGAACCAGTATTTAATGGAAGTTCAGTCACTTCCGTAGAAAATCTCAGAAGTTCTCAGTATAGCTTATTCTGCCTTCTAGCCACGTCGTTTCTTTAAACCTATCTTACTACGTTCGACCGTAATCTTACGTGCCTATTAGTATTCGCCGGTGAGGTTTAATTAAAGTCCAACTCAGTTAGTTATTTCTGTACAGCTTCATCTAACTTTCAGTTAGAATTACATTAGTTTCTTATTTTTTGTCTTAAGTTAATGTCCAAGTGGAGGTTTTCTTGTAGCCCCGAGAGGGACCATCTGTTATTATTATCTGAGTTAAATAAAAGGATATTTTAATCCTTCTTTGGACTTTGTTTCTGTCGTTGTAAGAACAGCGAATAGTCGCTATACTATTCTCTAGTTACCAAGGGCACACAAATTAACTAGAACTCTATAATTATGATTTACAGTTATAGGATTTAACAATTAATTATTATTTATAATATATATAAATAATACACATATTATTAATCATTATTTAAAATCATGTCCCTTACAATCCGTTTAAAGTAATACTGTGGGAGAATCAAATTATCCTAAGAGCTAACTTAATTTAAAATATTTTAACGAACGCATAGGATATTTAAAAAGTCGGATTTTAAGAATTTTCAAAAATAAGTATATCGCAATAGATAAAATATAATGTCTCCCCCCCAAAAAAAAAACCCTTAACCCCCTTAAGAATACAACTATTTTTTATGCCCTCAGTTTTTCCTTTTTTTAATTCAAAAGAACTTGATTGAGAAAATTATGAAATTTATTTTGTTTAATTATAATATAAACTTACCCTTCTCAGCTTTGCTGATGTAAGCGTGGGTGTTACTATATTCCTAACTCTTCTCCAAGCTTCTCCTTCAAGCACGAACAAAGTGTTGTCCATTATAGGATCGTTAAATGCCAAATCCTGTAACAGAAGCAATATAAAAATGGGTTTTGAAATACAACTAGTAATATAAAAATGGATTCTAAGTAATTTAATAGAGTTAACCTTACTATTATGACAAATCAAAGGTACAGAGAAAACAAACAATCTATCAACTCATCTCTGGCATTAGTTTATTATTATAAAACATGATTTAAGAATTTTTTTAAAAAAACTCAAACTGTAGGTAGCTCTTCACAGTTTCAGTTTATCTTTTACTAATGCTGAAGCTCTGTATAGTTTTATTTATATTACATTTCACTTTATAAAATAAACTTAAGCTACATTTAAAGAGTTAGCTAACCGAGTATATCTGAAAAACCTGAAAAGAAAGTTTTAGTTGCTTTTGTAAAACTTTATTTCATCCCAAGTAGTATTTTATAATTTGCATAAATATGAGTAATTTTTTAATTTTTTTTTTCTAGGACAGTAATATATAGTATTACAAATTCTATCACATCACGGAATATCAGCTGCGGCAGTTCTCAAAATAGTGATCACGATCCGCTTAAAAAATTACGTTAAACTAACCTGAGGTCGCTAGGCATTTTAAAATATTAATTTTATGAGTAATTAAATGACTATAGTTTTTATCTTTACAAATAACATTTTTACGAATATATCCCAGAATACCTCAGAGCTTTTCACTAGTTTTTATCTTCTTTTATTTGTTTTAATAAAATCTAATAATTTTCTTTAAAATAATCTTGCAGCTTCTAAGAAGCATCTCTCAACTCAGCTGAAAGAATTACGAAGAAAACTTTCGTTCAATCAAATAAGCATTCAATAAAAAAAAGTTTTTAATTGAAAAATAATTTTTCAAAAATTGAAAAAGTTTGAGAATCTTGAACTTTTAAATCTGCAGGGCTTTGTTCTCATAAGTCATAAATTAGAAATCATTAATAATTTGATTAATAAGAAATCTACTGCGAAACTTACATTATAATTCATCGTAATAAATAATTTATGCAACTTTTCTTGCATCATAGCATTTAAGGATCACAAAGAAAGGCCATTTACGAAGCTGTCAAATTCTTCATGAGGGAAGACAAAAGAATGTTTGTTGTTATCATACAAAGCTTTTCGTGTAATACTACAAATGTTTCATGAAAATTCATGAAGCAATAAGAATCTGTATTTAACAGGATTCATTCATTACTTAGATTCTTAGAATTATTCTTATAATTTATATTATTAATTATTCACAAGCTTGCACAAGCAAACATGAATTTTCAAATCTATTGTTCTTTTGTTCATGAATTTCATGGAAGAATGGTTGCCAGAGTCTCAAGGAGAATGGACTTCTACCCCAATTTTGAGGGACAGCACTCGGAGAGGGCGATCCAAGGGTCTCCCACCCCTATCCCCTTGCACCAAATCACCCGAGAGAACTTTCGACTCGCCATATATTTAGAGTGCCCCATGCCGCAAAAACACCATACATTTAGAAATATTCCTGCCTTCACCCGGATTCGAACACGGACCCTTCGATATCGCAGTAGGCTCCATTATACCGTTTGGGTGGCTTCAAATTTATTAATTCCCAATAAATAACCTAGCTACAATCGCTTCAGAACTAAGTAAGTACATGAATAAATGAGAATTTTCTCCGAAAATATAACCTTCTTCGAAAAAAGAAAAAAAAAAAAAAAAAAAAAATCACTTACTCTTCGATTTTGAAATATGTGAAAATCCTTAATAAGTACTCTTTTTAACAGTTCCGGTTCAGCAACGCAAAGTACAGGTGCACTTCCGTCATATCTCCTGGAAAGAAAAAAAAGGCATTTTTTTACGAAACAACGAAACGATTTTGAACGAAAACAACGAAAAAAGATCCTAGAAAGAAGCATATGGTCTCTGATAATTAGGACTCAATAATTCGTAGTCAAAATATTAAAAAAATAGAAAACAAAAGCTTGCAGTTTAGTTTTAGTCAACTAAGATTTTGATTTGTTTAAATACAGCTATAAATTATTTTAAAATTGTGTTAAATTGGCATATTATCTTACCCGTAAATTCTTCCATAACGATTATACCATTCCCTTTCTAGTTCGTGTAGAGGCTGTAAAAAATAAAAATCGAGTGAAAACTAGAATAGAAAAATCAACAAATTATCTTAATAAAAATCTAAGTGAAATTAATATAAAAGAAATCAGTAAAGATAATTTTCAACTTTTAAGAAGTTACCGATTCAATAAAACACTTAATTTAGTTTTCTTTGTATTTAAATAGTAACGTCATATCTATGAACGATCATATGAAAAAAAGATTTTCTCTTATGAGTAGAACGATTAAGATATTTAGAATTGTTGAATATTCAAATTTTTAACATGAAAATAATAATTTTAAGTCATTCGCAAAACGCTAGCTTTTCTTTTCGCTTGGTATTTATGATGCATAAATTAATTATGAAAATGAAGTTGTATGTTCCAGAACATTGTTAAAAAACACTTTTACCATAAATAATTTAGTATTTAAACGCTTAAGTATAAAGTCAAGTTACCTTGCCACTTTCAACAGATCCTAGTATCATACGAGGCTTCACAAATGGAACATTCTGTTTCGCCCAGTAGTCATAATTTTTGGTTAGAGCCCTGAAAGTAAAAAGAAAAAAAAAAAAACTGAAACGTGTGCTTCATTTGACTTTTATAATATTATTGCTTTAATGTCTGTAACGAAATTGTGGAAAAAATAAGAAACTATAATGCAAATAATGTATTATTCATTTCAAAGTAATTATAATTCTTAGAAGTCTAATAGAATAATGAACTTAATCATCTTTGATCTGAATCAAAGCAGCGAAATCGAAAAATCTGTATTGCTACCGATTGTTTTTTAAAATTTACAAATTGAATTATTCATAAATACATACGTTAATACACGTAAAAATGAAGATAACTATTTTAAGTTTCTGAATCTTTGTGCTTTTATTTTGCAACTTTATTTATTGCAGCTTTTTTATTCTGTTAGATATATCGAATAATACTTATCATAAATATATGTTTTTAAGAAGATATACAGTCTTAATCAATATCTACGCCAAATTAAAATGCTTTTTTTTGCCTAGAGGATAGGCTGTTGTTGACCTTCGGAAATGCTGATTATTTATTTCTAGCGAGAAAATAATAAGTGGAAAAATTCATTAGTTAAATCGTCATTATGACTATAAGTTAGAAAATTATTATAATAATTTTTCACAATAAAATTTTTTTCATACTAAATCAGTCGTTGAATCATGTTTTTCGTCAAATGTTATCTTTATTTTGAAATTATCACTAGAAGAAAAGAAAAGTTAGTGATGAGAACTTCAGGAAAAATAAGCACATACATGTTTTTAGGCTAGACCTTTTTAGATAGAAAATCAGATTAGAAAGTGAGAAAAACATCCAGACTGCAGCTTATGATACGCTTATACATATGCATCTTTCAGCAACTTTTTTTCACTATCAAGCTGTTAATCCGAGTGCAGTTTATTTTCCCTACTGTTTAGGTTACAGAAACACACTGACCCAGTGGCGAGCTTTCAATTGTTGAAAGATTCAACAGCTTGACGGGATGAAAGTTAATAAAAAAGAAAAACAGACAGAAAGGTTGAAGGGTTATGTAAAAAGGAGGATATGACGTAATATACGGCATTACGTTAAATATTACATCACTTCCTAAACCGCAGAGGTTTTTTCCCAACTATCTTCTCATTTTTCTCCCTCGCAGCAGTTCTAATATTATTTACAGTAATTTATCTTGAGTAGTCAGAAATATAATATTACAAATAAATGAATAGTATTTCAAAGTTTATCACATAACTCCAGTGACTGTTAATTTGTTTTTATTATGCTTATTAATGTAAAATTAAATTTACATTCGGTGTTAATGAAAACAAAAACTTTCCAGTAAGCGTAAGGCGATAATTTGGAAGTTGTTTTTTTATAAATTTACCAAAATACCGTATTTTATTAAGACTAATTTTAATGAAAATATATGCACTCAAATTAGACTAATTTTAAAAGATTAATATGAGATGACAATTTAAATTAACTTCTGCTTTATTTTAAAACATCTTAATTTCGAATAAATGATTTGCTACTTTATATTATTTTAATAAAGAAAATCATTAGAAATAGTGTTTTAAAGCCTGAAAACTATTTTAGATCAATATATTCTTCTATTATGACTGCGTATAATGCGTAAAAATAATTTTAATATTAATATGATAAAAAATAAAATATTTGTGGCACGCATAATTATTATAAAATTTTTAAGTTAGATGGGACAGTGAAGCATTTTCCCACTGTATATTTCCCATTGTACACATAAAATTGCATATTATGAAAAACTTTCACTAATTAATTACACGTAATGCAATATTGAGGAAAAAAATATGAAATAAAAGTATTAACTATGATGCATATCAAAATATACTAAAAACATGCTTTTATTTTATTTATATAAGTTAAAATATACTAGAAGCTACTATACTAGAGTTATTTAATGAAAGTGTTTATGAAATATTTTTAATAATTGTTTTAATCTTTCTGCACAACTGTATCAAGTCTCAAAATAGTAATTACAAACAGATATGCAATTCTTTAGAATATAAGTTTAAAAACTTCACTATAATCACTGTCATGCATATTCTGAATAAGGCATATTTAAGCTTGTATATTCAGAATAGAATCCTAACAAAAATAAACGTAATGAGATTATAATAATAAATTCATTCAAAGAGAAATTTTTTAAAGTAAAAAAATGCATATATTATTGCAGCTTTAACAGACCACATTACTTTTCAATAAAAAAAGCTTTCCTTTTTATATACTGTTGATGAAAGAATACCTGAATTTCTAATGTTTTTACACTTATCAAACCCATGAAATGCTTTTTCATGTTTTAGTGGTTAAGTTATTTAATTCTAGGATTACTATTCCTCTCTCTCGGAGTAAATATTTGATAGCATAATTCATTAATGGTAAATTCAAAAAATAACTTAATGATCAAATAATAACTTAGACGTCCAGTAATTCAAGCGAACTATGAAAAAAATATTTTACTCTCAAAAAAAAAAAAAAAAAAAAAAAGAGAGAGTTTTTTTTTATCGATTATGTGATTAACAATTTTATACCTAAAACAGCAATTTTTTAATGTTTTCATTTATATTGATTTGTTCTCCAAACTATGCCTTGCTTTCATAAAAGGAAGTAAACTTTTTCTCCAGTCCCACTCGCTCTTTTCACTCTAGTTAATCTAATTTTTCTTTAAGTGTTTTAAAAGAACTCGTATTTTTTATACATAGAACTAAAGAGAAGTATTTAATTCAATTACATATAATAAAATTTCTCCTTTAACTTTAATTACGTATACTAAAATTTCTTCTTGGAGAAAATATCAATCAAGAGACGAATTTTTGGATAAACTAACGATTTCAAAATACAGTGGAAATGTAAAAATTATTTTCAACTCACTTGTAAACTAGAAAACAGATGAAGACCACACAAGCCACCCATTGAAGTACAATCGAATACTCCATCGACCTTCTCTGTTGATTAAGTTTATCTACTACTACAACTGGGATGCAAGCGGAACACTTTTCAATGAAGCAGCCGTAGAAGGTTCCGTTTCGCTCAAACACCGGCCTTTGAATGGTTTAGGTGAGGCCCCGGCATTCGCATTTAAACATGGACAGTCAAGGTCATCTCATCGTCGACGCTAGGTGAAAGGGTATTCGCTCGAGCGGAAAAAAAGATAACGAAGAACTTTTTGTCGAGCTGGCAAAAATAAATGAAAAAAACGGCGCGTTGACCTAAGGTTAGTTGACCGGCCTTGATTTCAAACAGCTAATTTCTTTACTAGCTCGGTGGACATCCATCTTAAATGTTCTGCGTTACGTACTCGTGATTTGAATAATCACTGCCTTTCTCATCCCTTGCATAGCATTACTACTTTTTTTTTATGATCGCTGTTAAGACTGTCGGCTCCCCTACAAAAGTGTAGTGAACCCTGTTCAGCATGAGAAGCCACCTGCTTTACTTCTTATCTCTGAGAACAACTATGGATCACCATGTCTAGAATAAACTGTGATAACGTTTTTGTTTATGCGTGCAAGTCCCTGCCCCCTCATGGAGGTAAAAAAATTGCCTCAGGTACCACAGTTAGATACGTGATTTTTTCTTACAGAATTGACGATTTTGAAAATCCCCTAGATCCTCCCCTGAAAACTCTGCATTCTTTTCTTCCCCCTCTTGATAAGCGTTAGGTGTTGTTAGCCTTAAAGTTCATTGACCAGACGTTTTAAGAGTTATTAAACAATTTTTGTTTCTTCGCACTTAGATTTGAATGTGAAAACAGTTCGGTCATTCCCTTTGCATGATAGAATAAATTTCGCGGGTTACTCGAGGTTAATATGCTTCCCTTAATGTTCATTTTATCAATTGAAGTGATGTAATTGACATTTCTTGAACAACCTATATCACTGAAGTCGGCACAAAAAAGTGCTCTTTTTATAGCACAATGACATTTTTTTAAGTGTAAATGCCTGTTTTGTGTGTCACATTCTTGTCAAGTTGAAAATTTTAAATTATAGAAACAGACAAAAGATTTTTGTAATAAATCTTAATGCATATATATCATTAAACTGCAGTGAAGGTAATTTAAAAGTGACTTTTCTTCATCAAATCATTCATCAAAGCTACGTCTGGTTGAATTCTTTGGTCTTCTTTGTTATCCATTTCTTCCTTTAATCCAAACTAAACTGAAATGTTCTACTTACGTTAAGCTAGGTATACAACTATTAATTTAATAATTTATTTCAAGGAATAAGTGATCATTAAATATTTACAGCTGTCAGGTACTGATTCCGAAACTGAGTTTTAAGTCTAAATAATATATAACGGACAAATCTTTATCTTGATAGTATTGACCGACATTAAGTGATCTTTCAAATAAATGGGACAAGTTTTCCAAATGAGATATTACACAAGCCGTGGCAAAAACTAATTAAATTATTTCTAAAAGAATTTATATTTTAAAGAGGTTTACGAATTCGTATTATAACCTTCCAAGTGTTTACTTCGGATGATGTAGATATCAAAAGCGCAGTTTCCTCTCTTTGTAGAAGCATTCGAGTTGTCTAGTGTGATGTGTGATTTTTGATTACTCCGAAACAACGTTCTGTTTGAATTAATTTACATTCTCATAATGATGATTTTTCAGGTGGTATTTTAATTTAGAGAAGAGAAAGAAATCATTAGGAGTAAGATTATGTGAGTAGTGAGATGAGGACTGAAACTATTGGAATGCATCTTCTAGTAAAAGGTTTGATTAAAGATAATGCAGTGTCACGCAGAAGAATCATTATGATAGAATGTCAACCTGTATGCCATGTTTGGCCGGATATGGAAAACCCTTTCTCTTATGCTTTTCATTCATCTCACTGTAGCAATGTTGACTGAGATTTCTATCCTTGTATTTCCGCAATATGTCTCTAACATATCCCAGATACAAATCGCTATAGAATGATACCTCGCTGCTTTACAACCTTAGCTTCGAACTCATCCTACTTCCTTCGACATCTTTCTTCGGATCTTAAAAGAAATCTTATAAGGAATTATCGCTATCATGGTGCAAGTGGCAGATCGAAAATCCGTAGTTTGAATCAAAATGAAGACTTAGCTGATTTTTCACGTTTTCTATCCGGAAAAAAATCAAACAGCTCTACAAATTAACCAGCCGAATGCAAATTATATTCAAATTAAGTAGTAGGTAAAATTTACTTTTTCTTATCAATTTTTAAGGCAAATAAAATTTTAAAAAACAATCCTGTAAGCAAAAGTACCTTCGCAACAGATAACAAATAGATGATTCGATTAGGACAACAGTTGATCTAGTAGAACCCATAATAACTAAAATAATGACATGTACGTTTTATTGTTGTTTTTAATGTTATGATTCATATATATTATCAATGAAATATTGAACATTTTTACAAGAAACTAATAACGCATTTGAACAGATAAATATCATTACAATGAATATCGTCTCAGAGTGTGGGATATCTGCTGCATAAGCCCATAAATTTAAAACTGAGAGAAAATAGTTTATCTTTTTTAATTCATTAATATAATAAAATATTGGTTAACTATGCTTAAAGACACTAAATCCTCGATTTTAGGGATAAATTTAAAACTAAATGTTCTGCGCTGTGCAACGATCCTTTTCTTTCTGAGCATCCCTTATTATATGAAGATAGTGCATAACGAATGTACTGCATCATTCGATGAAACATGGGCAAAGACGATTTATGCTTCGTTCCATTCCCTCTCTCAATGCGAAAGAATAGATGAACTGCAAGTTGTTATGTTACAGTTAATTGGACAGAATATTCATTCTTTGCCAATGAATTTAGTACAATAAAGTCCTAAATCGTCCAAAAGTCGTAAGTTACCTCGATTATACTAAGAAATAACAATTAATTTAGTGCAATTCATTTTTATTTCATAGTATGGATTAAGGCGATTTTTCTGCTTCGAGGTTTACATTGTATTATATTTTTAATTTACAGATTGCTAATCCTTATTATTTCTGAATTTCTTAGAAAATTTCCACATGAGAGTATATTCTAGCTAAAGAACTGAAACATGGTAAAAAGTTAAATGAGCTGCTTTTAAAGCACATAATTCGAGAGATATTTAGCTTTTGAACTTGTGAAAACATTAAATTAAAAAGGATGGATTTGGTTTTACTTTAACAGTATGTGTAGTAAATATAAAAATAGGAACAAAAGACATTTTCAAATCTATATGTATAAAGCAGAATGTCTGTGTGTTTGTGTGTTTATTCGCGATTAACTCAGTCACTACTATAACTATCGTCATCAAACTTCCTACAGTTCTTTTCTAGGTCCTGGGAAAGGTCAATGTCTACTTTTTTTTCCAAAACAAAATAGCTAAACTCAGAGACATTAATTAAAAACTCTGAGAACGCTAATTTTGGCCCTCATTATTACGAGTGGCAAAAGTCTCGCATTCTGGAGATAAAAATCTGCTTTATTTTGAGAAGCGTTGCCACTGCTCGTATTCAAATCGTAGAGATTTTTAATAAAAAATTTATATGAAATAAGAATAGCATTGCCAAACATTAAATACATTATTCCCGATTCCAAAAACTCGTCGGAAGCCTTTTCAACTGTTCCCATCTTTGTACGACTTTAATCAGCCGAGATATTAATTACAAACTCTGAAAACACTAATTTTCGCACTCGTTTTTCCGAGTGGCATCAGTCTCGCGCGTTGGAGATAAAAATGCTTTATTTTCGAAAAGTGTTGCTACTGCTCGCTTTCAATTTTTAATCAAAAATTTTTAAGTTTTACGAAATCTATATTTATATATAAAGAAGAATGTGTGTTTATTTGTATGCTCGCGTTATTGAGTTCTGATCAATTATGATCAATTTTTTGCCATATTTAATCGATTAAAATTGCATATAGGTGAAATATTAGATGCAACTTGACCTTTTACGACAGTTTGAATAGAAAGACGAAAATTATTAAAAACTGCATGTCATTGTTGCTGATATAATGACAGAGAATTAGTTTATTTTTCTATCGAAATTTTTATGTGGGTTCTATGTAGCATCAGACTGAAAAATGCATGACTGTGAATTGTATTTTTTATATCTCTATTAGAGAAGGATTACAGCGGTATCGTTCTTTCTGTATTAGATACATCACTCTCAATCTAACTGAATTGGCATCGGGTACTTCCGCTAGTTATAAAATACAAAAGCATTAATCATTTAGCAATTTAGGATAATGAAGAACAGTTTTAATTTAAAAATTTCATTGTTCCAAAGTCACGAAACATCTCGCTGTTGTATTTGCTGTTGCCAACGGGCATTAGTCCAGAAGGGCTATTAATTTTGTTTTGGCATTTTGCGGTGGTTCATTATAAATGTCGGTTCACTTTTCAAGTTGCTGCCACCAAATATTAGAGCCCTGCATTGTATTTAAATGAAATTAAATAATGAAAAATCTACATGAATGTATGTATTTTTTCCCGCTGCAAAATATATATATATATAATATATATATATATATATATATATATATAGGACGAAGAGACAATCAAATTTTCAATATGTTGTCTTCCACTAGTACATAGGCATCTGGAAGCCCGAAGTTGGAATTTGGAATTGGTTTTATCATCTATTTCATATTTTGTAAAACTTTAACGAATTTTCAATTAACCAACTCAACGATTTTAAAGCGAGTAACGGCAATCACTGTACGGGAAAAAAAAACATTTTTATCTCCAGTGAGCGAGATTGTGTATTGGAAATTCTAAAGATATGCTGTTTTTAATTTTGTGATATTGTTGCTGAATTAAATTTTATGATTTAAGTGGGAAGAACATGATATTTAATAAATAAAGGTAACACACAAAACGTTAAAAAACGCCCCTTTGTGCGTAATATAAAATTTGAAAGCTTTCAGATTTTATTTATTTTAATTTTTATTTATTTATTTATTTAGTTAGTTAGTTAATTCTAATTCCATCTCCTCGCGTTCCAGAAAGTATGCCACGAGGCGTACATATGTATGTCATGGCACTAACAATGTCAATAAGTAAATGTACAATAGCATTTCAAAGGGGGGGAAG